GCCGCAACTCCGGTAGTTACGCGGGATTTCCGCATGAGACAAGTGTGTGACGATTCACTGCCTACGACATGTCACTTAATATAAACTAAACTGCGCTATGGTATCACCGTACACCAGCTGTGCCTGCTGTCGTGAAAGAGTGGTGCTCACATTGTTAAGGTCTGCCTATCCGCCCTTATGCCATCACATTGTCAACAGCAGTATTCCTCTCTGATGATGCCATGGAAGTGGGTCAAATTACCCGTGGAGCCGATTGTTAGATCTGACAGTCTGATCTGATTTTCTGTTAAGAAACCGTTGAACCAATCTCGCTTATTTCCATCGAACCTATGCTATGATGTGCGAGCATCTTACGTTGCGTTTTACATCGCACTGTCTGATTTCTTGAGCCAGCACGGGGTTTGTAAAACTCTTTCAAATAATAAGTCATTCGTGAACATTTCAGATAGCATATTCATGTCATGAATGTTGACGGATAAGGCTTATCGACCAGCTAACGTATCAAAGGCATTTGACAGTGTCTGTCACTGCCTGCTGTTTTGTGCGTTTGTTTTTGTTTGCATTCCACCGCGTGTTACGACCCTGACAATTCGGCTCCTCTCGAGGACATTTGCAATACACTTATACGGTTAAAGCTTGAGCAGCGAGGTTGCCCCCCACACATGCAATGCATACCAGAGTTCGTCCATACATTCCATTTTGTTTGGCTCATTCAAAGATGAATATACTTGTCACGCTGGTGCCGCACTGGTTACACGGTGCGCGAATAATCATCAAGGACATTGAAACAAGCTATTCGTAGAATCGAATCGAACTGGTAAGTCAACGCGGAAGCCATATTTAAGGCGCAAGAGAATCACATACAACCGGATGAATGAGAAACGACAAAATCCCAGGTGACAGCTAGCTCTTTGGAACACATTCGCGCTTCAGAAGCCTTTCTATACCCGAGGCAGCATCGTCCAGATTTTCTACTAATTACCGCTGTGACGTACGTACACTTATTTGCGTTTTATCTTTTATGCGACTCTATAAAAGCGTACAAGGATTCTAGTGGTACTTTCACATAATTTGTGCTTGCCGCCAAAGGACCGCATGTGCCAAACAGTACAATCGTTAGTGATGTTAAATGTGCTCTGCTGCACTGTTATATGTGCATCGGACGCTGTACAGGTGCTGCGTTTGAAACGTTTTTTTTTAACCCACAGTTATGGCGAACCATAAAAGTGCGATTATTATCAGCACTATCGGAGGGTAGCCAGGCTGGCTGTACGTACCTAAGCCAGCAACACCGAACATACGAAGTGCAATTATATGACCATTAAAAAGTCAGCTCAACTTGCGATTCTGTTATAATCAGCGCGGGCTAGACGTGACATTGGAACAAGGGGTGTTTTGTTTGCCACACCTTCAAAGCACAGCCTCTGAGGGTCATTTTTTTGTTTAGAGACACAACAGCTCGGAACAGAGGACCTTGAACTGCAGCGAGCTCGCAATGCTTGTTCAGTGAATCGAGCGGTGAAAAGACTTTCTGTATGATATTCAAGCACATTTAGGGAAGGGTTTGAGGAAGAGTTTCGTAAATGATACATGGAAGTGTTTTGTGTTCTGTTTTACACGAAGTGAAGTGCGTATTTTGTGCATGAAATCGTGTTACGTGACCTGTGCACTTTAAACAGGTTGTGAGAGCCACATACCTTGCTGAAACCCCGTGCTAGTGAATTCATAAATCAATGCACAACTAGCTTTCCACGCACACGTGCGGGAATAAATCATACGCACATTTCGAATTTCATTGGGCATCGGAGAATTGCAGCTGCACCACTTCCGCTTCACAAAACTTATGTGTTTTTAAGCAGCTGATGCAAAGTGTTGTGCTCATGTGTCCATTCTGTGGGTACGCACATGAGCTCTACAGAACGTAGCAAATGTAGGCGTATATATAGATAAGTAGATCTCGCTCTCTCTCCCTTTCTCTCTCTCTCTCCTCTTCTCTCTCTCTCTCTCTCTCTCTCTCTCTCCTCTCTCTCTCTCTCCTCTCTCCTCTCTCCTCTCTCTCTCTCTCTCTCTCTCTCTCTCTCTCTCTCTCTCTCTCTCTCTCTCTCCTCTCTCTCTTCTCTCTCTCTCCTCTCTCTTCTCTCTCTCTCTCCTCTCTCTCTCTCTCTCTCTCTCTCTCTCTCTCTCTTTCTCTCTTCTCTCTCTCTCTCTTTCTTTTTTTTTCTCTCTCTCTCTCTCTCTCCTTCTCTATTTAATGATGTGTTTACTGTAAGTTGTTTATTGTGTTGGGGTTTTACCATATCATGCACAATTCTTTTAAACATGCGGCAACTGCCAGGACCGTTATCTGCACTGGCTGAGCATGGGCAAGGTGGAGACATGTCAATGTAGGCTGCTGTTGGGCTGGTATTTCCCCAGATTTGGCCAACTTCCCTCCCAAAGTTCGGGGGGGGGAGAGGGGCTGGAGCCCAAGTTAGGGGCTGAAGGCCCCCCAACTGAAAAGGAAACTTCACCCTATAGGGAGCTTTATCAGAGCAAAAGTTGGACATGGTGTCGCTCAAATAAAATCGTGCAAAACATATATGTTCTCCTACAAGAAGGTTGCTAAGACTGGGGAGAACTGTTCCCTCCCATCGTAAACATTTTCATCCACCGCGGTGCGGCGCTCGCACAACCGTTCGCGGTCGGTATGGTGCGGACGGCCGGAATGGTTGACGGGAGCTATCCTTTAATATGGCGCGGGCCCCGGCTGCATACGGTGCCAATGTTGAGCTGATTCGGAGACTTCTCGCTTGGTGACGGTGTTGGCTGTCGGCCGCGCTGGCTACGGAGGCCGAGGCGGCCGTCGAGCAGTGAAGGAGCCCCGAATCAGGTGTTCCACGTGCTGCAGCAGGGTGGTGCACTTGCGCAATGGAAAAGTTCGTTTCATTCCGACGCCAGCCGTGGAGCTTGGCCATTCGGGAACTTCGTCCGACCCTCTTCTCGCTCTTTCCAGCTTCATCCCGCATCTTCGCAACACCCCGCTTGTCCGCGGCAGACTTCATGCGTCAGCCACGAGTTGGCCGGGAGGGCTGCTGGAGGAGAGGGGGGGGGGGGGGGGAGGACTCCGACCGAGTGCCAAGCACACACTCCGTAGAGGCGCCCCTCGCGGGCTAAAGCTCGGTGGTCCCCCCCGCCCCCCTCCAGAGGGGCATGTAGTTCTGTCCCAGCGTTATCCATTCTCCTTCATCCCACAGCCCTGAATGGATCATTTCTGGTCGAAATGGCTTTGCTATAAACAACCAGCACTCCGCACCGTGTCCTCTGTTGGGTGGGTTCTCTGGGACGGACCAAAAAGAATGGTACTCTGCGCTCGTTAAAGGATTTCTTCATGTGTGTATAAATGACTGCACTCAGAGACTTCACGTGCATAAATTTTGCGTTTGATGCTGGTTCATCGTTGAGGCGAGTTTCGAGGCGAGCGTCTATGTTTGGCACTGGATAGTATCGTGCGAAGATTGATAATCATTTGAATATGGCAATTCAAATATACGTGTGCGGTGAGCATATTTTTCCCTTCCTGGCGCGCCGTGTCAGGGCAGGTCTGCGGTGAACGCTAAACGAACTCTTCCAGGCCTGCACACACACACTGTATCGCAGGGGGAGCAATCGTGCGTAAAACTGAACTATGATGCATTGATGTGGCCACGAAGTGCGATGTGGTATCCCACAGTGAGGACTGACGCGGGGCGCTGGCCAGCAACGCAAGGCCTCGACGCTTTCCGATGATAGAGAAACCTGTCCCCCTCCCCCCGGTGGCTCCGCCCAGGACTCAACTGTGCATTGGGGGAAGAGGAAAATAACATAAAACAATACAAATTCGGCACCTGTGTTTAGCTGGCAGCGAAATAGGGATGCCCGTTTTGTCGCTGCTGCGTTGTTTTAGTATCCGTTCTGTGGACGAAATTTCCTTTACATGTCCTACTAGTTTCTTTCGCAAGAGCAAGAATTAGCAAATTTTAGTGTTCCTGGCGTACGATGAAGTTGTTGAAATAGAAATATTTAAGTTCATTGCAAACTGCTCAACTATCTAAAAATAGAGAAATTATTACCCGTTTCAGCGTATTTTTAACATCTGGGTCATTGCTTATTTCGGTCACCTGTTACAGAATAGACGTAACAAAGATGCGCGCGGAAAATCGACTTTGCGTCTGCTCAATGCCGCGCGTATGCTAGTGCGGCTCGGAGACGGGGACGTGTGGTCGGCTGTTGGTGCGTTTGCTTGGCACTGGTTTGAAGCAGGTGTGAATCTTACTGTACTGCCGCACTTGTTCAAATCATCTACGAACGCTTTGTCATTTTGTATTCTATTACAACGTGGCGATGGCTGACTCAGCTCCAGCAGACCAGTCCTCAAAGGCCGCCGTGGAGGTGAAGCAAGCCGAGAAGGAAAAATCACCGAAGTCGTCTCCTTCCAAGGCTGACACGTTAGTATTTTATTTACTTATTATTGTATGTTTTGGCTACTGGACAAGGATGTTCACGGTCCATTCTGGGAAAAATCCATACATGGCGCCAGATGCGTATATGAATGTCTGTTCTGAACCTGTTGCATATGCACACCTAGCTTAGGTGGGGCTCAAGTGTGCAGTTTTCAGTTTATTTTTTCAATATTGATTTTGCTAAAGAGTATTTGTAGTCTTTTTGGCCGAGCTGGCCCTTGCAAAATAATGTTCCCTTGAAGCATTGTTTCCCCATGTTCTGAAATCTGTAGTATCTGCACTGAATTCCTAAATGTGTTGGCTTACAGTGTGCATGTGCTCAAATTGTTGCTGTGTTGCTGACACAGTGGAAATTTTAAGCATATTATTTATTTGTATTGTCTGAAGTGCACTGCCTAGATACTTCAGTATGCTGCCTTCATACCAGACTGCAAAAAATGTTTTGCAGAACATGTTTGGCATGGCATGGCATGGCATAGTAGTGCCATTATGGCAAAAAATTAGTGCATGTGCATAATGATACAATTGTCTGTTGTAATGGCTGAGTGAGTGATGGCTCAGTTTTTTAGAGCACTCAGAATGCTTGCCTTCTGATCCACCCAACCCATGGTTGAGTGAGTTTAAGTCATTTTAGGCTTGGGTGCTTACTATTTGTCCTGGATGGGTATGACCTGCAGGGGGGGAGGGGTGGGGGGGGGGGGTGCAGCGGGGTGCCAACAGGCTTGTTAAAAGTCAGATCAGATGACTGTCAGAGGGCTGCAGGGTGCAAACATTGTAGTATGTTAACCCTCCAAATTCTGCTGTTGACCGGGTTGACATGGAATTGTGTGAATTGATGCCGAGGGCAAGGCTCGTACAACAAGCACTGTTTAGTGTGCTTTGATCCAAGAAATTCATGCATACGAAAGGTTTCAATTAAATGTTGTAAAAAGTATTGAAGTGTGCAGAGTTCACTGCATAATCATGATCATTTTTAATGCACAGATGCAATTTTTTTTTGGGGGGGGGAGGTATGACAATGTTGCTGGGAAAGTTCTAGAAACAAAATCTTGAGGAACATTTTCATATGCAAATTATATAGAAATAAAGCAGAATTTGTCTGAGTTGACAACACTCAAACACAAGGATTACTGAATTAATGTTGTGGTGGGACTTTGGTGCAGTGAATGGATTTTTCAGACTGTTGCTGATAAAATGTGTATATAGATGATGTGTGGATGTACATCAAGCAGCCACTTTAACAGGATGATGGTACAATTCTGATTACAGTGCACTTGCCCTGCAATGCAGCTCTTTGTACAGACAAACAGTACATGTGGCCAGGCCTTCAAATGACATTTCTGGTGCTCACCAGTTGCTGACATTGTTTCTCTGAACCTAGCCCAGGTGTGTGTCTAACTCATTTTTTGCTAAAAATGTGATGTATTATATAAGTGTTAATACACTTGTTTGTGAATTTATAATTGTTGCACTCTGATTTTATGGAAAATTGGCTTTTCATGTGCTGCAATCATTGGTAACCACATGCCATACTCCAAGCATGCTGATTTACGGCATGTATGGGCTGAATGATTGGTGTAGCTTTACTGCAATGCATTACATGTTTGGCATACCAGATATTTTTGGCTCTCAAACATTGCATGAGTGCTATCTCTAGGAGACTGATGTGGATTATATGGGACCATGTGGCACACTTGGGTGTTGTGTTGAGATTTGTCTGCTTACTGGCACACAATAAGTTTTGTTGAGTTGTTTGGAGAGTATTTGATAGAGGCTGAGTAAAACCATGCAATACACCATGAAGCTGCTGCTGGCACATTCCTGGTAATGCTGGCCTCTGCCAACCTGTGATTCATACAGTTCCAGGAAAGTGATGTAAAAAAGTTGTAATAAAGGTATACAAGTTTTGTTGGTCTCTTTCCAGGAATGAAGCACTGCAGCACCTGGTGCAGGGCAAGCGCCACTTGCTGGTGCGTGACATCCACTCTGCAGTGAACTCGCTGCAGGAGGCCTGCAGGCTGCTGGCCGAACAGTACGGCGAGACAGCTGACCCCTGTGGCGAAGCTTACTTCGCCTACGGCAAGGCTCTGCTGGAGCTCTCGCGCATCGAGACAGGCGTGCTGGGCAACGCTCTGGAGGGAGGTATGGTGCCCGGCGACGGTCGTTGCCAGTTTCTCTGACGTGGACACATGGGGATCATTGATGCACTGCATGCTGGGGGTGTTCTTTGGCATGGACTTGTGAGGGTGATTGATGTACCGCATGCTGGGATGGTTTTGATGCATGTTGCTTCCAGCTGTTGCTGATGATTATGTTATGTTTGGATCATCTGTGCATCAGTTGTCAACAGTTGGGTCTGTATGAAAATTAGATGAAGCTAGTTACAATCATCATCCAGAAAAAGCATGTTTCTTGTATTTGTTTGCATGCCCATGTATTCCATGCCGCATGTATACCTGAATACCTGGTGTTTGCATGCTGGCTGTTTCATGTTCTAGTGCCAGAGGGAGAGGATGCTGACACATCACAGACAGAGGCGCCAGATAAGCTGTCAGGTACATCATACAATGGCTTCAGAATGCTGCTAATGCAGGTCACAACATGTGATGCTTTTCCACCTGGTTTCCCATCCCAGTGCTCACAATGGTCTTGACATTGCTTTTGGTTTGTAGGGACATTTCAAAACAAAGCAGCGGGTGGAGTGGCAAACAATACAGCAGACATTGTTTACAGAAGTTATTAGTGCATTTGCGGGGAACATTATTCACATGGATCAGATGGTAGTAATAGCCTCATTTCTCAGGAAAAAAAAAACAGGAGAATGGAGATACAGATGTGTTGATATTTGAACAATATGCCTTTGATGAAACAATAGCAGAAGTAGACTCAGCACACTTAGTAGAATTAGACTTCTGCTATGGTTTTGATAAAGCGCCGAAATATCAACGTCTCGGTATCTCCATTCTCCTGGTTTTTCTCCGAGGAATGAAGCTATCGCTACTGTCTTAGATATGCTAGCATTTTGTATTTGTCCAAAGTATTAGAATTTGCTTGGCCTATGCTGTGAAAACACCTATTCAATCCATAGAAAATGACACATTTATAAATGGTGCATTTGGATTCAGGGTATGAGCAGCTCTGTAAATAATTGTGTTATCAAATGTAACATATTGTGGTTATGGCCCTGGAGGTTTTGCATGGAATGTCATTGACGCCACCCCAGCTATGAACAGGCATCAAAGAACTCTCCTGTTAAATCCTGAAGGATAAAAAACAACCTAACACTACACAAAGATTCCCCTGGGCGCAAAATGACCGCAGTAGTCGACGCGCCCTAAAACTCCAATCAACAACAACAAAGATTCCCTGAACTATGCAAAGTAACTTGTGACCATATGCCAAGAAAGTGGTCCGAATAAAACACATAAAAGCAATTTGTCATTCAATAAGCTCATAATTCAAAGAGCATGTATGTCATAGTACTAAAATTGGTACTTGCGTGCATAAAAAGGAGAAGAGAACTTAATGATGTTTTTGACTGGCGCCGTGACATCATGAGACATCATGATTTCTGGCCAGATGTGTGGCCAATGGTGTCTAGACTGGGCTGCCTGAAGGGGGTGTTCCCTCTTTTTGCACTGTTCACGTATTCTTTTGATTAGATATATCTGATCTGATCATAATTCGAGTTTTCTCGAAATCCATTGCAATAGCTCAAATGTTTGATTTGAAAAAGCCGCTTCGGCGGGAGAAATCATGGGATTCCCTACTCATGACTTTCAAGTAATGCTTTTCATTTTACTTGCTGATTCCAATGTATTCTGTAATGTTTGCAACATACTAAGTCATCAAAAGGCTCGTGCAATATATGTTACGAAAGTTTGGAACCCTTAAAAAGATTAGACCATTCTTACAAGGGAAAATACAAACGTGCTGCCCTTATCACGCCAATTCCACGAAACGTTATACTATCGGTTTGTTCCCTCCCCCATGGCGTTTAGCAGAGTGCCTTTTCGAAGCGCACTTTGGCTTGGAAAGCCGACAAACGGCACGTCAAAGAGTGGCGCACTAGGTCAAATCTCACTCAATGCTCTTCCCGGTGAATGGCCTTCGCCTCCTGGTGCGCCATTCGCAGACGTTCATGTGGACTGACGTCATTCATGCCAGTAGAGGCGCCACTTTTAAGCCAGCAGTCATTCGATGTGCGAGTTCAACAGCTCAGAGGTGGTACCACTGTCCGTGACAGCTGAGGATCGCCCCCAGCAGGGTCGGCCATCGTCAGTTGCCGCGGATAGGGCTACACCCTGAGGCTACAAAGAAAGGAAGGAGCGTTGTGCCGTGACAAAAGTGTCAGAGCGGGATTTGGACTGAAAAGGCTATGCAGATCAATCTCTCCATTATATTGTGATGGTAGTACCCAGTGTTATTCCTAGATACAACTGATCCTGGGGCTCCACCAGAGCGTGTTTCTTGAAATATGCCCCAAAGGTAGGACACTTCCTTCAACAATTAAGCTCCACGCACTGTTCTTGTAGCCCTCTATGTCGAGGGAGGCTCCGTCTGTGTTCCCCACCATTGCCGCACCATTATACATTGCTGCGAGCGCTGTGTTGCTCCGTGCTGACAGCAGCATTCCGCACATCTGCTACATTCGCTTTCTCCCCGCCTGTCGCGCCGTCGCTTGGGATCAGCGCCCGTCGTGTGTGTTCGTTCGCGCCAGCTCGTGCCGTCTTACTTGCCGCCTCCCCCCCCCCCCTCCCCTCCCAACCGCCTCCAGAGGAGGAGAAACTGCAGGTTATGGAAGAGGTCGACGAGGCCCTTCAGGAGAATTTCCAGCTGCTGGAAAAGGCTAGCTCGCAGCAGCAGCAGCTGCCAGCTGACGGGACTGGGGCTGGCCCGACTAGTAGCGCGACAGAGAAAAACAGCAAGCCTGCTGGGACAGAAGCTACTGAGCCGCCGCCCGTGGAGGACGCGGGCGCCATGGAGGTGGACGGGGCGTCGGCCGGCCCGACCGGTAGCGCGGCGGGCAGCGACAGCAAGCCTACCGGAACGGAAGCGACCGAGCAGCCGCTCGTGGGGGACGCGGGCGCCATGGAGGTGGACGGGGCGTCGGCCGGCCCGACCGGTAGCGCGGCAGGCAGCAGCAGCAAGCCTGCCGGGACGGAAGCGACCGAGCAGCCGCTCGTGGAGGACACGGGCGCCATGGGCGTGGACGGGGCGTCGGCCGGTCCGACCGGTAGCGCGGCGGGCAGCAGCAACAAGCCTGCCGGAACGGAAGCGACCGAGCAGCCGCTCGTGGACGATGCAGGCGCCATGGAGGTGGACGGGGCGACGACCGGCCCGACGGCGGACGGCGCCGCACCGCCGCCTGACTCTGGCTTCAACAGCGCTAGCCTCTCGCCCGTGAGCGGGCCCCCGGCGAGTGTGGAGAAGACGGGCGGCAGTGGGGACGCGGCTGAGCCGACGGCCGGCGGACCGCCCGCCGGTCCGGAGGAAACTGTCGGCAGCAGAGACGCGGCCGAGCTGGCTCCCAGCGCTGAGGAGGCCGCAGCTGAAGCGGGGTTGGCTGCGGAGGAGAAGGTGGCCGCACAGGATGGGAAGGCCTGTCTGAAGGACGGGGATGAAGACCAACCAGCGGCTGATACGACGGAGCCGCCCGCGCAGCCGGCCAAAGAAGGGGAGCGCGACCAGGAGGTGGACGCCCATGGCGAGGGCCGATCGGCGGCCTCAGTCCCGGAGTCTGGCGGCTGTAAGGACGAAGCTTCGGCATTGGAAGCCGACAGAAGACCTGTCCCGTCCGTGCCGGAGCGCGCCCCCTCTGCGTCTGAACCGATGTCGGACCTAAACGCCCCCCTCGCTGCGCCGGGCGCGGACTCTGTGCCCGCTGCCGCTGCGCCGGCGACGACAGAAGTGAAGCCAGTTGGTAAGACACGGCAAGCAAGAGAGCGCTTGCTGGGCCTCGTAACCATAGCTGGCCGTCAGTATGTAGTACTAGCTCGAGATCGCTCTGTTCTTACACAGTGTCGAGAACATAGCGAAGGCAGCCACCTGCCTAGGAAATGTAATAGGGCTAACAATCACTCGTTATCTGTAGACTTTTGGAGGTGATCGGACTAGTTAAAACTCCGAGAGACTCCCACTAACGCTCATTGACAGCAGCGTGTAACGCTTAGTACTTCTGTATTCGGATTTCGACCTTTTGCAGCTTTGATGAAAACTTCACCCACAGGAGGCTCCTGGGAGGAGTTTGACCCTTTCTTTGCACGCAAATTTCCGTTCGTATGAGCATGCTTGATGCCATTGGATAGCAGCCTGGGCACGACAAGCGCGTCTCCGGGTGTGCTGCAGTCAGCTTTTGTCGAGTTGGCGAACCTCGCTATCCATTTCCGCCCCCGTGGTTAGCCGTCAGTGTTCTTGCCGTTGTTTTCCGCAGCTAGGTAGCGCCAGGAAAGTGGCAACCGAACGGGGCGGGGTGTGCAGGGTAGGCATTGGTTGATTCGTATGCTTGCTGATATTTCTTGTACCCACGACGCTGTGATCCCGCCTCGTACTCTGTCTTCACTGCGAGCTATGCAGCAATACAATCACCAGGGCATCGTGCCCAGCCGGTTCGGTAAAGTTGGCATTCGCTCGATGCTCACGCTCATTGTGCATTGTATGAGCAGTCGCTTCGGTACAAGCCTGGATGTAAAACGTGTTCAGCAACCCCAAATATTCGGACTTCCAATGCAGTGAGTCTTATTGAATAGGTTTAGAGAATTTGATATAATTTCTTAGCGGAACATTGGGGATCAATCGGAGCATGGCCTATCCGTGAGCACGTACGGCGAGTGCAGGACTGTGCGAGTAAGGGACCCCGCATGCGGCTGGCGCCGGTGTGGGCTACAGCGTGAAATGGAAAAGTGGGACTTCCTTAGGTCGGCCTCACCACGACAGGTGTATACACTGCGGGGTGCGCACGTCTGAGCCAGCCAACTAACGAATGGCGATGGTCTTAGCTGTGACTAACAAGAGTAGTAGCAAGCTGTTTGGTCTTTTTCTGTGGAACGCCTAGGTGCCTTAGCGATCCAGGGCACGCATATGTGATTCGCAGATGCTGTGCACGTACCAAGGACCCTTCTACGGTCTTCAAGTCGTCTGATCAGTTCCTGAGCTTGCCAGTCATGTGGGCAGCTCTCTCATGCACCATGGTTTCAGTCTTCATGTTACTGACGGACGCATGGAGCCTGTTATCCCATACGGCGTCAGTGTGCCTACAGACTCTGCCCCACTCAGTATCCTGATGGCGCGGCTGCTGTCGTTTCAGAATCGACAGAGGACGACGAGGACGGCGAGGGCAGCGAGGAGGACGACGCTGAGGAGCAGGCGGCTGCGGACAAGGGCGGTGACAGCGACACGGCGTCTGCCGAGGAAGCGGCCTCCGCCGAGGAAGCGGCCTCCGCCGAGGAAGACGCCGACGCCGGCCGCGCCGGTGACACATCGCAGGACTGCGACAGTGAGCACGCCGACCAGGCGCCTACCCCCCTGCCCACCAGCCTGCCGTCTGTGCACGGCATCCGGCCCCCCGCCCGCCTGCCTACCTTCTCTGAACGGCACCTGGCCCTCGGCCTCCTACTTTCCAGCCTGCCGTCTTTGCACGGCACAGGGTCCCCTGCCCGCCAGCCTGCCGTCTCTGCACCGCACCACCTGTCTGGGGTTGCTCTGCACCCCGGCTCTTTTCACGATAGTGGCGTTGTGTGAAGCCGTTCATGTTGCCGTTTCGTAAGTTTTGACTGTATCGTTCCTGTCGTTGGCTTCTTGAATGCCGTCATTGTTCTGTCTATCCGGTGATGTGTTTCAGCAACCCCAGACCCGCCATGCGACAAGTCGCTGACCTGTGTTTGGCATTAGCCTTTGCCTCACCTGCCGTCGCCGCTGTCGCTGCCCGCTGAGTGCTACGCCATTCGCTGGGCTGCCGCGGTGTGCGCCGCTGTTTGGCTCAGCCGGCCTAGTCGGCGCCCACACTAACGCTTGGACCTGCTCCGCAGCGGAGGAGGGTGACGGCGACGGCGACGGCGACGGCGACGGGGATGGGGCGAAGGAAGGGGACGACGGCGAGGACGAGGACGTGCCGAACATCCAGCTGGCCTGGGAGGTGCTGGAGCTGGCCAAGATCATCTTTGCCAGGCAAGGCTACGCTCTGACCGAAGGAGACCGGGAGTCTGGCGGAGACTACAGCTCCTACCGTGTGACGGAGCAGACGCGCGGTAGCCAGACTGTGTCTGCACCAACCGTTTACTGGCATGCCGCTGGGCGGGCGCTGTCTCCTGTGCAGTGTCAGATCTATCATGAACGGCCGTGGGACTGGACCCATCTGGTTTGATCTGCTTTCCACCGGTGACGCTCCGGCCAGTTTCGCGCATGAACAATGTTGCCGTGATCGATGCCGTTCTGACAACTCTGATTGCTATCGCTCCGGCCGGCGTGGCCCCGACCGCTCTGACCGGCGCTGCTCTGACTTCTGGCTGTCGCAGCTCTGACCGGCATTGCTCTGACCTCGGGCCGTCACCGGTCTGACCGGTGCGGTTCTAATCTTGGTCTGTTACCGCTCTGATCGGCATTGCTCTGACCTCGGGCCGTCACCGCTCTGACCGGCGTGGCTCTAACCTTGGTCCGTCACCGCTCAGACGGGTACGTGTCCGACCTCGGACCGTCACCGCTCAGACTGGTACGTGTCTGACCTCGGACCGTCACCGCTGTAACCCCGAGCCGTTGCACCTCTGACGGGCGTGCGTTCCCGCCCTGCAGACAAGCGTCGGACCGGCCGTCCGACCTCAAGTTGTCCGAGGTGTACCAAAAGCTTGGTGAGGTCAGCATTGAGGCCGAGAACTACGCCCAGGCCGTGGACGACCTCAACAACTGTCTGGACATTCAGGTGCGAGGTCGCACGGCGCGCCCAGGCTGGTGGCTGTGTGGGGCTCGAAGTCGGCCGCACTGCGTGCACAGGGGAGGGAGGGGGAGCGCCTTTCGTGAGTCGGTAACACCCCGCAAGTGGTTTACCCAATATGTATGGCTACACGGTAACGACACAGTCGCGCTGCAATGGGATGACCACCAGATGAGACCCCTTTAGAGTTCGGCTGAATAATGCTATGCAAGCACGTTTAGTGCTCAAGCCATCCAGAGCGTGAGAGTTTCAGCCTTTTTCGCAGATTCATTCCATGCTAAGCATTCGGAGTAGGCCGTGTCGGAATCTTAGCACAATGGGGTCACTTTCACTAAATTTGATATGAAAGTGTTACAATGTGTGGGTTTGATTAATGCCTTACCACGTTTTGAAAATGCAAGCATGGGTAAAGCTGCTCTAACCATATGCTCAGGCTTAATCTGTCCATTTCCGGCTGAGGGCCACGAGCCGCGGTGACTGGGCTCTACCAGCCGCTGACCCTGCCGGCCCCTCTGTCCACAGAAGAAGCACCTGCAGCCGGACGACCGGTTGATCGCCGAAACACACTACCATCTGGGCGTGGCGCACTCGCTGGCCAACCAGTACTCGGAGGCTATCGCCAGCTTGCAGGCGTCAGTCGACACCATCCTGGCGCGCGTACAGCGTCTCCAGGGGCAAATCGTCGACCGCGAGCAAGGTGAGGCGGCGGCACCGGGCTGGCGCTGGCGCGGCCGGATCAGTGGTCTGTCCTCCATGTCGCCAGCCCTGGCGCAGTGTCGCTTGGTTTTCAGTTCTCCTTAAAATTTCCTGTGGCCAGCAGTCCACATTAGCGGCTCTGCCGGCCAGGACGTAAGGTAGCAGTGCACCAGGCCTGGCGACTCCACAGCACAGGACTGGCATGAGTAAGTAAGGTAGGAGTGCACCAGACCTGACGACTCCACAGCACAGGACTGGCATGAGTAAGCGAAGTAGGAGTGCACCGGACCTGGCGACTCCACAGCACAGGACTGGCATGAGTAAGTAAGGTAGTGCACCAGACCTGGCGACTCCACAGCACAGGACTGGCATGAGTAAGTAAGGTAGGAGTGCACCGGACCTGGCGACTCCACAGCACATGACTGGCATTAGTAAGTAAGGTAGGAGTGCACCAGACCTGGCGACTCCATAGCACAGGACTGGCATGAGTAAGTAAGGTAGGGGTGCACCGGACCTGGCGACTCCACAGCACAGGGCTGGCATGAGCATGAAAGATCGAACCGCGTCTCGTCCTGCCTCGTCCTTTCGGGGCATTAGTGGCATGAGTGTGGAAGATCAGACTGCGTCTTGTCTCGTCTTGTGTTACCCTGCGTATGGTATGATTTCAATACCACCCTATCGGTCTGCTTTTTAGGCAAAACAATCGAGCACGACGACCCCTTTTACAAAGAAGAGAATGAAATTAAGGAGCTCCAAGATCTGCTGCCCGATATCAAGGAGAAGATTAATGACATGCAAGAGATGAAGAGTGAAGCGCAAAAGAAAATCGCCGAGATGGTGAGTGGTGCAGTGCTCACACCCATCGTGCTTCTTTCGTCACCCTGCACGCCACCTGCCCACGTCAGGATATGTCTGGCATAGCGCGTGCCAAGCGGCCCATGGGTGTTTTTCATTGTTTGGCGCTTCCTTGCACCGCGTGTAGGTTACTGAGATCATGGTATCGTACGTCAATTTAACAGACATGTTGCCAGTAAGGCCGCAGACCTCAGGCAGGTACGGATCTCGAAGCGTTCGGACTCATTTGGGGATTAGCAGGCTTCCCGTTTGCGTGCCGGCCCTCTCCGAATGTCCCGTCTTCTAGAGGCTAACATCACTGATCGCAGATCCACGCGGTTTGCAGCAACGGGAAACGGGAGTCCGGGAAATTCCGCTGTATATTCTTAAACGGATTTGCTCGCATTCCAGTAGTACAGTGATATCTGCAACATTACCATATTAATAAAACTGATGATTCCCGTTTGGTGAACGTATAAAAAGTAACACGCTAATTGCGAAAATATTGCGTGTAAAAAACCCAAGGCCAACATCGTATAATTGCAGCGAGGACAGGTGGTGGTGTCCACAAAAGTGCAGCTTGGTGTTTGGAGCCGGTCACGTGCGCTGGTATGCAAACCTTGGATTGGCCGCGCGGGCACATTTGCAAGGACTGTGGTCCGACCCGGCAGCTGACGCGCCCGTGGGACCAGTGCGTGCTGTAGTCGGCTGCACCGCGAAATGGCCTCAGTAGCCGATGCGCTCACAAACACCCAAATGTTATCACGGCCGAATGCACGGTCGGCCTATGAATCAGTTCGTGGTTTCGGTGCTCCGAACCACAGCGACAGCAGTGAGCGCCAGGACAGCGGGCACCCGTGTCAGAGCGCTCACGCCATTCTTATTAACCGGCCTCGCTCGCTCTAGCTCTGGTCTGGACCGGGAGAGATTTGACAGGCATTGCCGTTGCCAAATTTTGTAACCAGCCGAAGCGCAAAACACAAATTAGTAAGGGTTCTCAGAGGACGTGGGAAGAATGAGGGGACATCAAGCGCCAGGGTTATCACTTATCGAAAAAGTAAAATAATCGTGGTGGATGTTGACCAGAGTTATCTACTACACGCCCGACTAGTTTTCATCACGTGGTTTCTCCTGCGGTCGGTATATGGATCATATCGGTACCATAGTGACAGCGATGTATCACGTGGTTTAGTGACGCACAGCTTTCACCGATGCGCTACTCGCTAGATGCTTCTTGGCCCGTTGAACCAATCACAAAATGTGCATTTCTACTAACGTCAACGCACAAAGGGATGCATGTTTACCTCTTCAGTCATGGTGGCTGGGAGTACCACGCAACGTAAATGAACACACTGGCCACACTGGCCTACGATTTTCCCATCCTGGGTACACCAGCTTTACCTCGCCTTAACCCACTACCCATCAAACCATTATCACTATAGCACCATTAGCTTACTCTTGCCATCATGGCAAACCTAAAAATGGTTTGGTCCATTAAGTAATCATGCTTATTTTGATATTTTCTTTAGTTTGTTTTTCCACTACGCAATGTCAGTAAGGTTCATTGCACCAAAAGTTGTGCTGGGGGACTATTATCAATGCAGTTGAGCCACATTTGTGAAGATGGAAAGTTGCCTAGTATGTTTACCAAGATGTTTACCATACGCCAGCAAATTTACTTAAGTAAGTTCCAAATTCTGTATTGCTTTTTACAACTTTTTTATTTATTGTTTAAGCTCCAGTTGTTTTTATGATGACAAGGTATCATTTTCGTTTTTATTTTTCGAAATAACAAAGGTACAACAAAGGAAACTAAGTGTATAAAATACTCCCACGAGAGATGCAATTACTGCCTTTCCTAAAATATATCATAATTATCACAAAACAACATCTGCACCCCATGTTGAAAAGTTCGGTTAAATACATCATAGAATTCAAGCAGTCAGGTGATTTAGCAAACCAGTTTATTTGTGATGGTGGCAAGAATGCATCATGATGATTAATTCCTAAACTCATGTCATTTACGATCTTAGGTGTTCGTCATTTCAGCTATGCATCTCCAGTTTTCCACTTGCAGAGTTTGACAAAAACCGTGGTAGAAGCTGGTATTTAACATTATTGGTCCTAATGAGACTTGAAGGGAACAAACCACATTTTAATTTCTTCACTGTTTATATGCCATCAGTAGTTCATATTGATGAGCAATCACAACTTATGACCATTGTCTTCGAGCAGGTGTTTAACGCGAGCTACAGATGCAGTTCTACCATAACTGTTATGCAGGATCTTGGAAAAGCACGTAATCACATATTGGCAGGCTATTTTAACATCTTGAAAGCATTCCTTCGTAATTTTTTCCACGGTATATCAAGTCCAGTAATTGTCAAAATTGACTGAATTTCACAATGGTGAACGTCGTCTCGCGTGCGCGAGTGTCGGCCATGCACGGCATAATATGGGGTTACAGGAGAAGAAAGAATTGAAGTGCTGTTCTGAAATGTTGACCGCATAATTTGGACTCGGAAATATAGCATTGGCCAATCCTTGGTCGCTGCTAGTGCATCTAGTTATCGTCATCGGCTACTTCATCGTCATTGTCTAGACTGTTTAGTGATTTCTTAACGTTATTTTTGCGTAGGCCTTTCGTATATTGTCACTTCGTTTTCCGTGGTTGCCTATGTTTTACTGAAATTCTTGAAAATTACTGGAACGGATGGTTTTATTGTTCGCACCCAAACGCTGACCACGCCTGTGGCCGAATGTGCGCATCAACCCGCACTCGCTAGCACCGTTGGACGTTTCCACCTCCCCCTCCCCCCTTCCGCACCCGTCAGATGGTGTTGGTTGTGTCCGGCTCACGTTGCAGTAGTGCATGACAATCATGTATGATCAAAATAGCTTGTGGTCAAATTGCTTCAGCCTGACCGAGCACTTGTGCAATATTTTCTAGGTGGACTGCTAGAAACTGCATGAACTTACATGTGTTGCGACCACACACGTTCTGTGTTGCGTAATACGTTTTACTGGCTCGTACAGCAAGAAGTTGCCTGCGCTCCCTTTGGTGATGCATTGAATACAAGTTATTTATAAGGCCATGCTTGCAAACGGGTAGTTGATAAAAGCAAACTTCTAAGGACTGGTCTAGCGGTAGTGTGCAGCGCCGTCTGTTTTTGTACGCTGTGCGCCCGCCCCTGTGCCGCGCTGCAGTCGCTGCCCCCTACCCTCCGTCCGTGACTGGCAGTTCGCCGGCGGCGCCGGGCCGTCCACCTCGGCCGCCCCCATCTCACCGGTCAAGGTCATGATGACGTCACGGCAGGCCACGACGGCGGCCGAGGCCGACGGCGAGCAGAAGGAGGCACGCAGTATAGGACACCTGGTCAAACGCAAGGTCAGTGGGACGCGCCACGTGTGTACAACGCCACTGAGCTTGACACTCTGCTGTTGTCATCATGGGTCGCGGCTGTCATCTTTTTCGGATCACGAGACGTGGAAATGATCCGACTCTGGCTTGGCATCATGCAATGTCGACTGGAGCCGAGGAAATAGCCTCCCCTACTCGAACTATGGTGTTTCAGTGGTGGGTGGTGGGCTCGGCTCGGACTGAAGCTTTTGAATTAGGCCTGTGCATGGCTGGAACGTATCGTAATGACCTTGTGAACTGGCTGAAGAGGAAATGACGCGCGCATCTGAAGTGTTTCGCCGCTTGGAACTAATTGACTTTCTCAGGATAAACGATGTTGTTCGTTGTTGTTACTCATGTACACATGGATAACGGAGCCTATTCGAACCTCCACGTGATCCCTTCGAGGTCGTGTGGCGGCTGTGGTAGGACAGTGAGTGATAGGGCTTCTGCCGCTAGTTGTCTGAAATGATCTACGGCCTATTTGAAGAATAGCTCTCATAATTGTCGTGCAATCATTTTCATTGTTGAACTTTTGTGTTCTGAATCAAATCCCGACGAGCCAGTTTGTAGTCCCGTGCCTGTAAGACTTGTTCCGCTCGTGCGGAGTGCGACTCCCGGCATCTGGTGGCCGTCATAACCGGCCGGCGCCTCCGCAGCGGCTGTCCGGAGAATCTGCCGAGGAGGAGGCCAAGCGCGCCCGGCAGAACGGCCACGGCGGCGCCAACGGCCACCTCGGCGGCGACCAGGGCTCCTGAGCGGTGCGCCGCCGCGCCGCCCCCGGACATTCCCCGGCGGAGGGCGCCGCTGCCTGTGAGGGCGCCGCTGCCGCTGCCATCTGAGGGCAGCCGACGCTCGCGCCGCCGGCAGCCGTCAGTCATTTTATCACGCCGTTTACCCTGCCGTTTGTTCATTTTGGTGTAAATAAACTTTGTATTAAGACGAGATAAGGTTTTTTTATGCACACGAGGTGTACCGGCTTGAGTCCGATTGCTGAGGTTGGGCGACGTCTCTTCACCAGCTTGGAAACATGGCCGAGCGACGTGGCAAGCTGTAATTGCATCGTTCTGTCACATGCTTCATTGTCTAAAGGAAATATCGGCGTGAAAGTGGCCGTTGACGTCGCGTGCCACCGTGCACAAAAACAAAACCATAGTTCGCATACTGCCACTGCCACTGCCTGTCTGCTGCCGTGGAAACGAAGCCGCCGCTGCTGTCTGCAGACCGCTCCCGCCTGAGGGCTCCCGGACACAGTAATACATACAACTCCTTCATACCTTAGCAGTCACTTTTGCAGGACGGAAAAAGTCGGAAGTGAGGCAGTAATTGCGCCATGCAGCCATCCTAGTCAACTCTTCTCATTGTGCACTGGAACATTGTCGTCAATCTATTTCACTTGGGTTAGGTTGGGCCAGCAACGGGTCATTAGTTAATGCTTGGGAGCCCGGAATGCTGTAGTTTGCGAGGACGGAGGGGCTCCACCACTCAAACAGGGAACACGGTGCGTTTCCGTCAATGAAGTATTGATGCAAAGTATAAAAACTTCCAAGTTCAAAACTGAATCCGTACGCTCGCGACTGGCCACGCAGACAGCCGTTCCAGACAACAGCATTCTTTGCATTGCATGGAGGTATGTATTTCCGCTGAGAGGGCCACATCCCACAGCTGAGCATCATTGATACATCCAGACACGAGCGCGGCACCCGGACCCCGTGGCGCAAGGACCCGGACCCCGCCGCGCACGTGGCCTTAATCAGCTGGGACTGACGATCGCCCGCCGTCGTCGCACCCATGCGGCTAATAGTAATACTAGCATTGTCAAAGAACGGCCCGTCGGGCGAGCCAACCTATATGCACGCCACCCATCCATTGAAAGAGCCGCCGGCTATGTCCCCGAGAACACGTACTGTCATCCATATTCGACTGTATGGTTTGTCATTGTCAATGAGATCCGAATCCATGGGCTGTTTTGCTTACCTCAATTCTGCGACACGAAACAACAAGTCTACACCCGGAAGATTACGCACTGCATGCGATTACAGTCCAACACAGTCGGTCGCATGCACGGAAAGGCCTCCATGTCAACCCTATTGTGGACACGGAGACTCCGGCAACCTAGGACCGGTGTCTCGCACACTCGTGAATACGCCCACAACATACCCAGTCTCAGCGCAGGACCTCCCAGTGACCCGAGCGTCCAGCCTTGCACCCCAGAGATCCACAAGCCGTGCGATTGCCGGTCCGCCAGAGCCGGCTTCACCCGTGAGCTCCCGAGACATGGACGTGGCCGCCTCGGCCGTGGACGTGGCCGCCTCAGCCGTGGACGTGGCCACCTCGGCCGTGGACGTGGCCGCCTCGGCCGTGGACGTGGCCGCCTCAGGCGCGGGCAGCGGGCGGGTCAGCAGGAGCGGCCACGACCCTTTGTACGCGGTGACAGGGCCGGCCGGGCGGCCGGCCTCAGTCGATCTCCTCTGCGTCGGTGGAGCGCGGCGTCGCCACGTACGGCACGCGGCGCCGGTAGAACAGCAGGTAGGCCTCCTGGGTGACGACGCGCTCTTCGGTGACCCGGCTGACGCGGCTGTCGTCGAACAGGCGCCAGTCTGTTGGCGCGGGAGCGGAACACGTCACACGGCTGCGGCCACCTCCTGCCCTGGTCCACCCCCGCACCAGGTCAGGTTGCGGCACGCCAGTCGCTGCCATCTGTTATCTGGTAACACGAAATCAACCTGGTATCTGAGTCCAGTACAAGACAGGCTTGCTGCCATGTCGCAGTCTAATCAGCCAGCGATTTGAAATACATGCATTTGACGCAGCTTCCACCCAAAGCGTCTTTTATGTGTCACAAATCGTCCGTGCCACGAGAAATCACGCGGATCTTTACTATTTAGTCAAGGCAATGCTGGATCAGGTGAGATCACGTGACTAAGCAAACTACACGTCATTGGAACATATCAATGCTTTTTTCACCCATTCCTGTCCCGTTACGGATATCTCACGGTCCCATTGAAAAAGATGAAACCAATGTCCATTTGCAATGTTCAAATCACGTCTTATCATATCACCTTTACAACACCCGCCCGTATGCTTCCAGCTATATCGTGCAGAGCACATAACCCATGACCTCGGTTGTGCCGTCTGTGGGGCGGCGAAGCCGTCTACAGCAGCGGGTCACCTGTTATGATCTTCATCAACGCTTGCGACTTTAATACAGAAACCGTCTACAGCAGCGGGTCACGTGTTGTCTTCTTCATCAACGCGTGCGATTTTAATACACAAGCTAAGACACATATCGAATGGTGTCTAGCTTCGACGACCTTCAGCGCCTTACAGACACAATAAGCCGGGAGGGATAGGTGCCACTACGCGAGCTGAGTAGACGCAAACGACCTTTTAGGAAATCCTGAGGCGAGGTTACTCCTTGCAATCTTCTGAGCCCGGCATTTCCCATGACCTATGACCGTGACCATGACCTAGAGCTAAGGTAGTCACGAACTTCAATGCGTATCAAGGTCGACGTCGCCCGCCGCACTGACACGACACCACTTACCGTATTCAGACTCCTCGGGACGGAGGGGGTCCACGCAGCGCGCGAAGGCCGTGTAGTGACCGCCCAGTATACCGCCGTGGTGGTTGATGACGCCGTACAGGTCATAGATGGCGGGCCCGTCGTCCGGCTCCACCGTCAGGTACGGGCTGAGATCCAGACCCCTGGCAAGACGCCGCTTAACAAGTGACAGAACTGAGCACGGACGACCATACCGACCAGGTGCACACTTCTGGGAGAGCGCCACATTATGGGCAGCTGGGCTACACGCGGGTGGTCATATGTTACTAAGTCATATGCTATTAGATGCGGACACAGTCCTGGCTGTTGGCAAGGCACTACACGATTGGTGAGAGGACTAGTCACAGACAGTCCCACCACGACTGGACACGGACTCAGGACACGTGCACTCCACTGATGTGTCACACACCCGCTAACAGAATTCAGACATTGCTGATGGTCACCGCGGCTGTGAAACGAACAGGCTCACCTCGTTGGGAAATGGACCATTTTGTCGATTTTGTCCCTGTAGATGAAGTCCTTGAACGAGAAGCGCTTGAGCTGCACTATGAGGTTGAGGGGTACGCGCCATAGACTCATCTGTTTCTCCGCTTCTCTGTGAGTCTTGCACCTGGATAACCACGTTTGGTCATGCGTCAGCAGACTAAAGGCCAACAAGCTGAGGCTGGCCAGAATATTTGGTAGCAGCGGCAATGCCAACATCACTCTGAGCCGAAACACACCTGCAGGTGAGGCAGCAGCGCGGACTCACATCAGATGCGTGCCTGACGCTGGCCCGAGTTTCACACGGATCTGAGTGTCAAATCTGATCGTCTGGACTAGAGACGCAACTTTTCCACCCGCCAACTTGCCACTTTTGTCCCGGCAAGACCCCGCAGGCTTTCGTTCGGGTTGTGGACCAGGCTTGGTGGGCATGCATTGTTTTACAAGTACAATTCTAAACCAATCCAACAAAAATGGTGTCCCGCCATATGTGTAACGATGATGAACAAATATTATTATTTTTAACAAGAATTCTGGTGACACAAAACCCACAGCATGACTCGTTCACAGGTGACACAACAGTAAACCAGGGTGCAGGAATTGAACCATTTTATGCAAACACCTCATCGAAAACATCAACAATAACAACACAAATCCTCACACCTCGGCCTGATTTCACTGAGAATATAGGCATGTAGGTCATTTATATAAATACAGGAACATTGCTATTGTGAGGATGGGGTGCATCCAAAATATCACCCAATTCACACACAAAACGTAAGTCAGAACCACAATCAACGATTAATAAAATGGTCAGCAACCAGTGTTACTTGTATCACCATAACCTTTTTCACTGGTTAACGCAGCTCGCATGCACATCAATGCCCAAATCTGAATGTTGGTAAGGTAAAGTGGTTTATCTATGCCTGTTTGTTCATACCTACAAGAACATCAGCTATACGGCCACGACAGGGGGTTCTTACGTACGATATGTTTCACCCTCACTACGAGTGTGGTTCATTTTCAACAGAAAATTTTGTTCTGTTTTGCTTCTGTTATCTCTTCTATATCTGCTTATGTACTCAACACCAATGAAGGATCTGATTTTCTTTCTTAAAATTAGGTCATAACAGTGAAGTTAATGGCGCATTTGAATGATGTGAGATAAGCGTATGTTATTTGTGCTCGTGTACAGTGTAAGTGCTCGTAGAGCATTTGTGTTATTTTGTGCTTGTGTAGCTGCGGAGAACTCCTACAATTCTTTATATCTACTTTTTGTCAATGCAAAACCATCAGCTGATGCAGGTAATTTTAGGAGACCTATCTTTTTTGTTTAGTGAAATGATGCACAAGTGTGAAATGGCTGGTACATTCTGGTATGGAGCCATCCTAAATTCTACCATATTACTTCTCACTCGTAGGAAATTGAAATCACAGTGTTTAAAGCTGTTCATCTGACACTATGGAAATTCCAAAGTCCAGGTGCTTTTATAACTGCTATCCAAGTGACATCACTGGTAATATTACAAGTTCTGAGTGTACAACATCGTTCTTCTATTTTACTGGAAAATTATGACCAGAAGGCCTTGCATGCCATTGCCAGAAACAATGAATAACATTATTTGCCTATTATGCAGGCAAACAATGTCGTGCATTGAACGAAACTGATAACATTTGCCATGCACATTTCGCATGTAGGCCTAAAATTAAAAGAAAAACAAATACTGACTGCACTTAACGCTAGCGAGTAAATGCATGGTCAGCACGGTAGCACAGCGGGCTTTTACGGGCTCCATCCCCAGCTGGCCGGGCCGGGCTGCAATTTTCAAAACCTTGCGTCTCGAGCCAGGACTATCAGCTTCATCGCTGAGACGCGTCAGGACAGGAGGAAGTGGGACACCGCCCTCACACGGCAGCAGACGGAGCCTGACCTGGGGCAATACCAGGCCTCGCCCGGCGACAGCTGCTCCGGCTCCGTGAAGAGCTGCAGGCACTGGTCGAGCGTGAAGTCAGCGCCGGGCTCGCCGCCGAGCGACGGCCCCGGCTCCGGGGCCGCGTCCAGCTCCTTGTCCTCCACCAGACAGCAGGGCCGCGAGCGGTGGTGCGTCTTCCAGTCCATCGCCACCATGCAGTTGCCGTGCAGATCCAGCGGCTGGTCGTCTGCGGGCAGAGATACGCTCAGGGGCCGTCCGGGGTGTGCGGGCCGCGGTGCCGGCAGCGGAGGAGCTCAGTTTCCGCTCAGGGTATGGGCAGAGACGGCGACGAAGGAGCTGAGGTCCCGCTCGGGACACGGGCGGTGATGGAAGCGGAGGAGCTGAGGTCCTACTCAGGGCTCGGGCGGCAACGACAGCGGAGGAGCTGAGGTCCCGATCAGGACACGGGCGGTGACGTCAGCGGAGCTCAGGTCCCGCCCAGGACACGGATGGTGCCGGCAGTGCAGGAGCTGAGGTCCCGCTCAGGGCACGGGCGGTGCCGGCGGGCCCATGGCACAACCGTACAGCTCAGTCAGCCGATGACAAGACCTCGCGGTGGTATCGAACACGTCAGTCAGAGGGACTGCCGACTGACGAGACCACTCAGGAGGAAATCGCACACTGAGCACAGACCGTGCACTGAGGAGTGCGCCGAGCAGCGGGGCTCGGCACACGCCGGGGCCACGGCCATGGGACGGGCCCCAGGCCTCTCACCGCAGTCCTGCAGCCGGGCGCCGTCCGCTGTGGTGATGCTCTGTCCCTGCTGATTCACCGGCTTGATGAAGAACAGCTGCTTCTCCTCGCCCCCTGAGTTACAGAACAGCGTTAGCCGCCGCTTACTCCAGCCCAAGACACACGTCGTAATCCCAAGTACCAAATACCACACAAGTACCACACAAGTACTAAGTACCAAGAGCAAGAGCACCACACACGGGGCACTCCGACGCGGTTCGGCGTCACAGGCATCTATCTGTGGTATCGCGACGAGTCCCGCCCTCCAATCCGGACAGTGTCGGCCCTCTCAGTGCCGCCGCGGCCGAGCGGTGCGACCGGGCCCACCTGTCGCCGGCGGCGGTCCGTGCCGGTCGGCCGAGTCGCCGGATGCCGCTTCCTCCTCGGCCGGCACCTCCTCCGTGTCCGTGCACTGGCGACAGCGCGTGGCACATCACGCCACCAAACAGCACGGTCGCTGACCCGCTCTAACGCGCGCCGCTGGCCAGCAGTGTCGCCCGGTGGCGGAACCGACAGTCGCTGACTGCCAGCCGTGCCAAGCCCAGCACCAGGCGTATTCCAAACCGAGCAAAAGACGCTGTGACACAAAAACAGCGGCCGACAGCACTGGCGGATAAGCTAGCTGTGCCGTGGCTGCTGTGAGATCACATGCAGGGAAGCAGACTACGATTCGTCTGGCACTCAAGTACGAAAACGCAAGCGGTCGAGACGGCACAAGTGAGCGAACTAAACATGATGTGGTGAAAGGGAGGTATTCATCAACTAGCATTATTTGGTATGGCATTCCCTCAAGCCGACTGCACGGAGAATGCGTAACTCTAGGCCGCTCGCACCCACGACTTTCCGCTTACTATCAGGCACGGACGCCTACAACCTGAGCTAACCCGTCCGCTGCATATCCTCGACGGCGTCAGCGTCACGACGCCCTCCATTAGACCGGAACGGCACAGAGCCGCCGAAGTCTGGCCAATCCAGCCCCCGCTCCGCCCCCTTCGAGCCGGAGTAGACCGCCGGCAGGGACGCGCGCACGGGGCGAGGGGTGCCGGGCGTGGCTGAGTGAGGGCCGGTACCGCCGGCAGGGACGCGCGCTCGGGGCAAGGACTGCTGGAGGTGGCTGGATGAAGGCCGGTACCGCCGGCGGGAACGCGCGCTCGGGGCAAGGACTGCTGGACGTGGCTGGATGAAGGCCGGTACCGCCGACAGGGACGCGCGCTCGGAGAAAGGACTGCTGGACGTGGCTGGATGAAGGCCGGTACCGCCGGCAGGAACGCGCGTTCGGAGCGAGGACTGCTGGACATGGCTGGATGAAGGCCGGTGCCGCCGACAGGGACGCGCGCTCGGGGAAGGACTGCTGGACGTGGCTGGATGAGGGACGGTACCGCCGGTAGGGACACGCACCCGGGGTGAGGAGTGCCGGGCGTGGCCGGGTGATGGCCGGTGCCGCCGGTAGGGACGCGCGCTCGGGGCGAGGGGTGCCGGGCGTGGCTGGATGAGGGCCGGTACCGCCGGCAGGAACGCGCGCTCGGGGTGAGGAATGCCGGGCGTGGCCGGGTGAGGGCCGGTCGGCCGCTGACCTTGCCGCTGTCGGAGCTGGTGTTGGAGCTCAGAGAGTCGCGCCGCTCGCCCGACGAGCTCACCGGAACGCAGAACACGTTCACCGAGTGCCTGCCATCGGAGGAAAACCGCGGCGTGAGAAACTGCGGTTGAGCTGAACCAGCGGCCCGCCATCGGGGGACGGCGTGAGACACTGCGGCTGGGCTGAACCAGTGGTCCGTCATCGAGGACGGCGTGAGACACTGCGGCTGGGCTGAACCAGTGGTCCGTCATCGAGGACGGCGTGAGACACTGCGGCTGGGCTGAACCAGTGGTCTGTCATCGAGGACGGCGTGAGACACTGCGGCTGGGCTGAACCAGTGGTCCGTCATCGAGGACGGCGTGAGACACTGCGGCTGGGCTGAACCAGTGGTCTGTCATCGAGGACGGCGTGAGACACTGCGGCTGGGCTGAACCAGTGGTCCGTCATCGAGGACGGCGTGAGACACTGCGGCTGGGCTGAACCAGTGGTCTGTCATCGAGGGACGGCGTGAGACACTGCGGCTGGGCTGAACCAGTGGTCTGTCATCGAGGACGGCGCGAGACACTGCGGCTGGGCTGAACCAGTGGTCTGTCATCGAGGACGGCGTGAGACACTGCGGCTGGGCTGAACCAGTGGTCCGCCATCGGGGGACGGCGTGAGACACTGCGGCTGGGCTGAACCAGTGGTCTGTCATCGAGGACGGCGTGAGACACTGCGGCCTGGGCTGAACCAGTGGTCCGCCATCGGGGGACGGCGTGAGACACTGCGGCTGGGCTGAACCAGTGGTCTGTCATCGAGGGACGGCGTGAGAAACTGCGGCTGGGCTGAACCAGCGGTCTGTCGTCGATGGACGGCGTGAGACACTGCGGCTGGGCTGAACCAGCGGCGACTGTGCACCAAATGTCTCCACGACGAACTGACGACAATAACCATCTGCCTCACATCACCTTCATGGTGCTGTGGGGAAACTCCTAATCAAACGCCAGGCATCCCCCTGATGAAAGCCTCCGTGGCGTGATGGTGACCCCCGCGCTGCACCGTCCCGCCAGGCCGGTACCCACCTGGAGAAGGCCTCCATGGTGCGGCAGACGCCGGCGTAGGTGGCCGCCGAGCGCGGCAGGCTGACCAGGAACGGACAGCCGACAGGGCTCCGGCTGCCAGGCGCTGCACAGCTCCCGGTGGATGGGCCAGTGGTCGCGCTGGCACGCTCGGTCACAGTAGCCGGTGCGCATACAGCGCGTGCATCGGCGCAGCTTCTCGGCCGCGTCCGGCTCCTTGCGGCAGCTGGAGCAGACGCGGGCCGGGCTGGGGCACAGCAGCCGCTGCCGGGGGAGCCGCCGGCGTCACGCAACGAGCGGGCGGCAGGAGACAGGCGACACCGCAGCAGCCGCTGCACGGAGGACACGGCACGTTACGGTGCCTGCTGCCGCAGGCTACATCACACCAGAGCGGCGCAGGACCGGGCCGCCGAGAAAGCATGCATACGTTTTGGTAGATCCTTGCACAGTCACACTGGTGCCAATGACCCGCACAGTGCATGACTGCACAAGACTTAGGCCATGTGAGGTCGTTCCAAGCACAGTAATGCTCAGTGGGTACTATATTTGTCCGAGCGTCCCAATGTAAGAGGAAGGGCGACGCGCTGGCTGCCAAAACACATGCCATTACTTGCGTGTTACGTCCACTACCATGGCTTCATCACAATTTAGGCGCTTGGTCCTCACTGAAACACCGAAGCCGCCCAACCCAGCATGGCGTCTCAAAACTTACCAAAACGCACCACAAGTTTCAACGACGACAAAGACCGTTCAGCAAGCTGTGCATCAGCATCCTGCCCCTGTTGCACAGCGGTACACGACACGCAGACTGCTCAGCATAACTTGCACGCAGCGGCAGCCGGTCGTACCGAGCCAGCGGCTGTACCTGGATGAAGTCACTGGCCCAGCCTAACCCGTACCTGGATGACGAGCAGCTCGACGACAGGCTCTCCCACGTCGGCCGGGTCGAGCTGCTGGAAGGCTAGCATGTGCGATGTGCGGCTGATGGAGCTGATGCCGGCGCCGCGCGAGTACACCTTGAGCACCTGCCGCCGGGGGAGGAAGGGGGGGGGGGGGGGCGTCACGGGCCAGCAGACACTGCCGGAGCATCAGCGTTCGTGCCAGGAGACCGGCCCTCCCGCGCCTGGATGTTGCGTGCGCTCGGGCATGGCGGCGATGCAGCCGCACCGGAGCCGGGACACAAGAGAAGGCGCGTGACACGGCAGAGTACTGCCGGCCGGCCGGCCACAGGCGGGCCCAGTTAGGCTCAGGCAGGGCAGGCAGCGCGGGTCCGTCGCACCCTCGAAATGAACGTCGGACCGCTATAACGCCCGCAGCCGCAAGGGGATCGATGCCGCAGTCTCTCACGCCATCCTCAGGGGCTGGGGCCTCGGCCTGCAGTGACGGGACGGGGGCCTCTCATCCATCACAAAGACCGCGGCCACGGATCGAGCCCGGCGCTCCAGACAGTCACGACACCCGGCCTACGCTACTGTATCATCGACTCTCTGCAGGCGACGGGCAGCTGCACCGCTCTTTCCTGGCTGGGGCAGCAGCAGCCCGCACTCGCAGTACGCGGTGGCGGCGCCCGACACACACCTTGTGTCTGCGCTCCTCGATCAGCTTGATGAACTTGGACGACACGCCCGCCTTCTCCGAGAGCTTCTCCATGATCTCGTCCGCCTGGCCATCAGCCGTGACGTACAGGTTGTACTGGAACAGGCCGACACATTTATCAGTCGGGTACAAGAAACAACCACCGGTTGAAGAAGACACATGGGACGCCATGCTGAACTGAGATGGTCTGCCCCGCAGCGTCACCTGTCCATTCGTCCCAGGCCTGGTCTCGAGGCAGCTGCCGAGCCCTACAAACGGCAGCCGGCAGACTGATAATACTAATCGGGGCTTTGGGCTGTGCCGACACCTACGCTCGTTCAGGGTGCAGCGTGCAGAGTTAGACGCGGAGTGAATCGGCCGTAAGCG